CTAGGCTCCGGTATGAACATTAGAATGTAAGCGTATGAATTAGCATTATCACTACCTTGTATTCAGCTAGTAGTTAAGATCAAATATAGCCAACTGTACAATTATAGACACATTCATAGACAATATAAGCAAGCACTCGGAATCAAAACAAAAAGAGATCAAATAAAGCCACGTTCATAGAAACAATAAGGATGTGATTCATGAATGAAACAGGAAAAAGGAATCAAATGTAGGTACTGTCAACTGTAAGCACATCCATCGGACCAATGAGCATGTGATTTGGAATGAACAAGTGAAATAGATCAAATATCGGTGCTGTTAAGTATAAGCGCATACATCAGAACAATGAAGACGCGATTTGGAATGAAAAAGTGAAACAGATTCAGTATAGGCACTATAAGCACATTTCAATAGAAACAATGAGCACGAGATTGGAAATGGAAACGAAAACAGATCATATATAAGCACTATCACAACCGTACGCAATGAGAATTCGATTAGAAATGAAACACGAAAAAGGAAGCGAAAATAAACCTTGCAAGCAATCACAATTCTCAGCCTCTTTACGAACAACATCGAGAACAGCATCAATCAACTCCGCTCCTTCAGTATAATGACCTTTAGCCCAATTGTTACCAGCACCGGACTGACCAAAAACGAAGTTATCAGGCCTAAAGATCTGTCCGTACGGACCAGATCTGATACTATCCATAGTACCAGGCTCCAGATCCATAAGAACAGCCCTAGGAACATAACGACCACCAGAAGCTTCGTTGAAATACACATTAATACGTTCAAGTTGAAGATCCGACTCAGCGGCGGTGCCTTTGTAACGGCCGGTAGGATCAACGCCGTGCTCGTCACAAATAACTTCCCAGAATTTGGAACCGATTTGGTTACCGCATTGGCCGCCTTGAATGTGTAAGATTTCTCTCATTTTCTCTCTTTTTTGGAGGAATTTGGAAAATTGAAATGGAAAATGGAAAATGGAAAATGGAATTAGGGTAAGAGAGAAAGAGAGTGTGTGAATTTAGAGGGGTGGGGATTTGAGATATTTCTAGTGGTGAGTTTGTTGTGGTGACAGGCGGGAATACATACACACGATATAACTGCTGGACCCTTGTTGTAGGGTCAATATGGGTCCCACATTGATCGCCGATTTTTTTGCCCTCCATTATTTCTTTATTTCTTTTTGTTAGCTAGTTAGTGGTGAATACGAAATAGTAGTAATTACTACAATTTATATTATACGCATTACACACGACAACAGTTTTTGAATTATATCATTGAGATTATTCCTTCCTTTAAGCATGTAAGAATATAATTAAGTAAATACAATCGTACTTCGTTTGACAACTTAAGTTTTTAAATACCATAGTCACACAATTTAACATGTTATCATAGTAGGTAAAAATTTGAGTTCAAGTCTTAATGGTATCTCCTTGGTCCATAAAAGAAAGAATTGAGTCGCAATAAGACCCGTCACACATATAATTATATATAGAAATGTGGTATTTAAGTTTTTAAATAGAAATTTTTACATTCCTATACACTATATGAAACTATATTTCCCTCCCTATTCAAGTTTTGTCATAATTACATTTTATATACTCAATTACTATTTATGTACATTTTAAGGGAATTAATGATAATAATTAGTGTCCTAAAATTACTCTAATATATCTTTCACTCCCCAATGTTTCTCTCTCCTCATCCCCCCCCCCCCCCCACCAG